CAGTGGTACTGAGCCCGAGTCTGTGATAGGTGAGAATATGTAAGCCTCACTGTGATGTCTCTCCATGTGCTGAATAGGTGTGGGTGTTGGGAGAGACTGAATATGATGGCAGGTAGACCTAGGATAAGGAAGGACCATTTAAGGAGGCCTGAGTTACTATATGTGCCACCTAGGTCTGAAGGGGAGAGCCAAGGTGGAAAACAGAACTGAAAGTCAACATCTACATAGTGGTAAATGATACAAAGAAATTTTGTTGTTAGTGCTACCATGTCAGAACCAACTTATAGCTGACCCTTCAGTGGGTTTTCAAAGGGCAAGGGACAAGATCGCCCATCTTTCTCCAGAGGATAACCCTGTGGATTCAAACTGTGCTCTGGGTTTGCACTGCAGCTCCTTACCACTAGGGAACCAGAGCTCCCTGACAAATCAACAGGATAAAGCAGGCCTAGAAACAGAACTCTGGGACAGAGACCTACAGCACTGTGGGCCTGCCGCTGGCACACTCACTTACATGTCTAACGTCTTTGCATTCATTATTTCAGGACTTCTGCATACTTATCCATGGAAGGGTTATTATCCCCCTTCCTAAGGTAACCATGCTGTTTTTTGCACCCTCAAAGAAAACAGCCCCTAACTAGGAAGCCAGACCAGGGGGAGGCAGGAAGATGGGCTTCACAAGCATCCGAACTGCTGCATTTTCCAGCCCTGGAGGACCCCAGCTGCTCTCCACTGAGTAGGGCAGGGATTTCTGGGGGAACAATAAGGCTGAAACAGCCAAGCCCATGAGTTTGGCCACTGAGGCTGAGGCATAAGAAAAAAACAGGATCATTGAACCACCCGAGTCCCACCTTCCCCAACCCCACGTCTCCTGAGGATCTGTTGGATGATACGGCTCCAGGTGCCTTTACCAGTTGTCAAGCTGATCCTGACTGAGACAACCCCATGTGTAATGGAGTAAAACTATGCTCCAGAAACTTTTCAGTGGTTGCTTTTTGGGAAATGGACCCCTAGGCTTTTCTTGAGGCATCTCGGGAATTCAAATCTCTGAACTTTTGCTCAGCAGTTGTTTGTTAATCGCTTGCATGCCAGGGGACAGTGGTTTCTTCAGAGAAGTCAATGCCCTTCTTGGAGCAGGGAGTATAGAATTCACATAAGGGGTACGGCTCTGTCATTGCACAGTGTCCTCCAGGTAGTACTGATAATTTTAGAGTTCCCATAACCCAGCTCTACTCTGTGGCCATGCAAGCTGAAAAACCCTTGTCTATAGAGTGGATCTTATATAAGCAGCAAATACCCAGCTGGAGAATGTCATCTACAACTTCCAACGTGGTGGGTTAGAAACACAGAGGGGACAGGGAAGAGGGGAGAAGGGAGAGGGAACGGGGGAAGGAAGAGAGAGAGAAAGAAACTGCCTAAAAGAGCACTTCTTCTAAATTAAGAATGAGACTGGGAGAGCTCACCTGAGAGCACTGTTCCCTCCTGCCCAATGCTGCCCTTTCAAGGCGGAACCTCTAGTTAAGAGCTGTGGGGAAGGAATGCTAGGTACTGGAATTGTTCACTGAAAGTATGAGCCCCAAGCACACACCTTGAGAGAGGGGAACACTTAAGATACACTTTCACAGAATTCAGCTTGGTTCCTACAGCGAGGGTTCTAGAGCATCCAGGACTACTCTGAAAATGTCAGCACTGAAGGAAGCAGTATGCAAACATGATGGGGTTAGACGTGGTCTCCGTTTCTTTATGGTCTTCCTCTTTTATATCCTGATGTTTTATCCCAGGCCTAATTCTTTTGGCACTCTGAGCACTAGCAGTCAGGAAATCAAAAGATGAATTGCATTGGGGAAGTCTGTTGTCAGGGGACCTCGCCAGAGTGCTAAAGAGAAATTATGTCAGTCTAGAGACTAAGGTGCATCTGATCCAAGAATTACTTCAGAATTACTTGCTATGTATCGGAGAGCTGGACAATGACTAAGGATGACAGAAAAAGAATCGATGCCTTTGAGTAGTGGTGCTGAAGAAGTCTTGAACATTCCATGGACAGTCAAGACAACAAATAGGTCTGTCTTGGAGAGGGTGAAACCAGTTTCTCCTTGGAGGCAAGGATTTTAAGCTCCATCTCACAGATTTTGGGCATGTGGGCCAGTCCTTGGACATCATGCGTGGAAGGGTGGTGGTACAGAACAAGAGAGGAAGACCCCAGATAAGATGGACTGACACAATAACTGGGATGATGGGATTAGGTGAGTCAGAGCCAGTGAGACTGGCTCAGGACAGGGCAGGTTCAGAGCTATTATACATAGGGTCATTATAAGTTGTGGGCAACTCAATGGCACATAACAATATAATGATAATTCTTTTAATTCTATGCATATTCACTCCCATTAACTACCATACAAACATGGACAACCCTCTATAATCCTACACTCTCCCCTAGTTTCAAGCCCAGCTATTTAAATGTTCTTAAGCCAGTTAAATAGAAAGTGCCCTGAACTGAATGCATCTGCCCTTCCAGTCCACCTCCTCCTTGTGCTTAGTCACTCAGCATTCTAGCTTTCCTCAAGTTTGCATTCTCAAATGTTTCTCCTTCCCCTCAATGTAATCACTGTCCTAGGTGGGACTTTTGTCTTCAACTTGAGCACTGCAATAGTTTCCCAATAGGCCATTCTAAATGCAACCTACCCAAGATCTATACATCTACTGGAGAAAGATTTTGACAGGGTACACTTACATGCTACCCTCAGCCAGGCTCCACTATCATAGTATCCGAAGCCCTTTCCGACCTTGCTCTACCTAGCTCCCACCACTCCTCACTGCCTATTTTACAACTGAATCATGCTAAGCAGCTAACAGTTTCACACACCTAAAACTGTTTCACACTCCTGTGCCTGTCACTAGAACACCTTGTCTCTCAAAAGGTACCACATATCATTTTTTATCAGAGCTTCTGGAATCCACCAGTTTTGTTCCAGGGCTTACCCCATGATCCCACCATCTCAGAGATAACAAGAGACAGGGAAGGTAAACTCTGAAGGAACTGACATGTTCTAAAGCATCTATACATAGTGATGCTAGGGAATTGGTTCTTTAGCAGGAAGACTTTGAAGCAGAGGAAAGGGTTAGGAAGTAATCGTATTTTGCAGAAAGGGAAAATTTCTCCACTGACTTTCTTATATCTGATTCAAAGAAAGTTCCATTTTCCATGCTTGCATTACATCCTTTATATGATAGGCACTCCACAAGATCAGGAAGAATGGCATCCCAATACCATAGGTTGATGAAGGAAAGAGAAATTTTACTTTAAAATCTTATGGAAACATATGCCTTTGGTCAAAAATGTTCATTCCTTCCAATAAGACGCTCAGGCTGGCCCAAGTACTACAAATTAGAAAACTGTTCTCTACTAACCTTCCTATAGGAAACTGGTCTTATGGCCCAACACTTTAAAAGCCTGGAACAAGATGACTTAGGAATAAAATTGTGCCAAGAACTTGGGAGTATAGTGTTCAAAGCCCAACTCCATTCACCTCTCTTAATGACTTCTGGCTATTTTTGTTATTAGTAATGCTTGAGTGATATCATTATTATTCATTTTGGGCACAGAGATCAGGAACTCTAAAATGGAAAAACAAATGCAGGCATCAGTGAGCAATGGAAAGAATCCCAGGTTCCCATAAGATATAACCTATGGCCAGCCAATCATACCAAATAGTATTTACTATCAGAAGGAAAAAAAACCAAAATTCTGAAACTCATTTCCGCAGCCAAAGCAACATCTCAATATTTTGTATTTTCTTCCTCATCTCAGTATCTATTTTTTTCCTGTGTTTTGCCAACAGAATGTAAAGATGGAAATTCACATCAAATGTTTTGCTATATAGATCAGTGTTGTTCAAAGCATTCTGTCAATTCTGAATGTCCTAAATCGTCTAATCTTTAGTCTCAGTTTCATGTGTATTAAAATGAGAAAACATAGAATAGTTCTAACAGGAAATGTGGTCTCTTAAGTGCTTTGAGATCATGGCACCTGAGGTTTGCCTTGAAAAGAAAGAGAAGATAGTATAGCAACAATAACACCTCAGGCTCTAGGCAAAGACAAATATTGAACCTTGCCAGGGGCACTCTCAGATGTGTGACCTGAAGCAAATATTTTAAGTTCCTTGGGTAGTGAAAATAGCAGTATCCATCACCTGAAAATGCTGTTAGAATTAAACTGGATGATGTAGACAGTAATTATCACAGTCAAATTCTTAGTAAGTTCTGGCTATTTTTATTATTAGTAATAATTATTTAGTGATGTCATTGTTGTTACCACTCTGATGAGCTCATGGAAGTCTGCTCAGAACCCTGATTTTCATCTATAATCATTTCACCAGCCTCCAGTGCTTTCATGGTTCAAGAACCAACTGCAAGTAGCCTTGTCCAAGAATTACTTCCAATGGAATGTGTGGGCATGCACACAACAGTGTGAAGATGCATCAAAAGCTTGCATTTATGCTCAAACCCACAGATTTCTCTCTGGAGGTTCAAGTTACCAGTTAGGCTCAGATACCAATAAAGCTCTTAAAATTCAATTCATGACGACCCCATATATTACAGAATAGAACTGCTCTGTGAGGTTATTTTGGCCATATTTATGCAGTCAAATCATCAGATCTCTGTTCCCTGACACCACCAGGTAAGTCTGAAGCACAAACCTTTAGGTAACAGTTAAGTGCAAACCATTCACACTATCAAGGAAACAAAAGCTAATATAAAGACTACCTGAGGATTGTGTAAGCTTAGTAAGAGAAAAACAAATTATATTTTTTTAAAAGTGCCTTCAAATATAGATCTCCTTAATCTTCGAAGTGCACTTCCAATTTCTTGTATTATACCAAGATAAATTCCCTGGGTATACACCAAGCTTAAAAATTGGGGATGTTTCTTTCTACCATTCATCATAAGCTCTTAGAAGTTTTAAAGATAACTTTCTCTCTGTTGTGTTATGGTGGGAGGCATCTCTATAATGCCTTCCCTCCTACATGGGTTCGCCGATGGGCACTGAAATGAGAGCTATTGTTGAAATCTTTTCCGCATTCAGTACACTTATAGGGCTTCTCTCCAGTGTGGATTCTCTGATGAATGATGAGACTAGAGCTCTGGTTAAAGCATTTCCCGCACTCTCTACATTTATAAGGCTTCTCTCCTGTGTGAATCCTCTGGTGAGTGATGAGATTAGAACGGTCACGGAAGAATTTTCCACACTCAACACATTTGTAGGGCTTCTCCCCTGTGTGTACCCGCTGGTGTGTGATCAGCTTGGAGCGCTCACTGAAGCTTTTCCCACAGTCTCCACATTTATATGGCTTTTCCCCAGTGTGGGTTCGCTGGTGGTTAGCCAGAGTGGAGTTCTTACTGAAGCTTTTCCCACACTCAGCACACTCATAAGGTTTCTCCCCTGTATGGATTCTTTGGTGACTAATGAGGGCAGAGCTCTTAGAGAAGCTTCTTCCACATTCTGAACAACGATAAAATTTTTCACCTGAGCCAGTGCTATGCAGTCCAGGAGAATTTAAGTCTTTACTGATACTTGGAGATTGTTCAGGAGATGTCTCCTCTCTAGAGTTCTTCCAGTCAGCACTAAAGGATGAGCTTTGGCCAGAGCTGTCCCCAAGCTCACTACAATGGTCAGCATTTACTCCAAAGTGGATTCTCTGATGTTTCAACAGGTTTGAGCTCTGGTTGAAGCTTTTCCAACATTCCCCACATTTGTAGGGCTTCTCCCCCGTGTGGATTCTCTGATGAGTGATGAGATTGGAGTGGTCACTAAAGCTTTTCCCACATTCAGGGCATCGGTAGGGCTTCTCTCCAGTGTGGATTCTCTGGTGGGTATTGAGGTTGGAGCGGTCACTAAAGCTTTTCCCACATTCAAGGCATTTGTAGGGCTTCTCACCAGTGTGGATCCGCTGGTGGGCAATGAAATGAGTGCTCCGACTGAAGCTTTTCACACAAGTGTCACACTTGTAGGGCTTCCCTGCCAGGTACAGGCCTTGATGGTCAATGAGTTTTTCCAAGTCCTCTTCAGAAGAAGATTTCTCCCACTGCTCCTGTGGAAGATTCTCCCATTGTCTTTCACCTTCATTTTCATTTTCACTCTCTTCCTCCCAATCCTGAGCTTGACAAATGTCTATACCCTCTGCAGTGAATTTTGATAAGGCTCCAGGCAAATCCTCAAAAATTTCCTGCTCTGAAATCTGGTCTTCATCTTCATGCCTCAGTTCAAATCCTGAAAGAACAAACATCAAGGCAGTTTTTATCATTTATGAATCAGCATTTATTTATCTGATATTCTCTATCTTTTATCTTGAGGAATCTGAGTATTACAAGTGGTTCAACTACTAGCCAAAAAGTTGATGGTCTCAATCTGCCCAGAGGGTACTTTAAATAAAGGCCTTGTAATAGCCTTCCAGAAGAGTACTGACTTAAAACCAGCTGTCACTGTTGTTTGTTAGGTGCCACTGGTTGACACAATTCATAGCAACTCTAGGAATAAAAGATCTGGATCTTGCCCTATCCTGTGACATCCTTACACTCTGTCATGTTCTAGCCCATTATTACAGTCACTGTATCAATCCATCTCTTTGAGCAATAGTAACTTGATAGCAGTTAACAACAATCATTTATGCTGTGGATGTGGTTAACCTTAACTTGTATTTTATATTATAAATGTGGCTAATATTCAGTTGACCTACAAAGCCTAGGACATCAGAAATGAAGATTGACACATAGTGACTCCACTGTGGGAGTCATGAAGCCTGCCAGTCAGCCTCCCTGTTCAACTCCCGTGTCTGACTAGTCATAAAAAGGATAAATATTTCCTTTTTCTAATCAACAGCATTCCATATACTCAGTGCCACATGAGCCTGTAAATTGCCTAACTGCCTAGATGCATCCAGTAAAATGTAGGCTAACTGGCTGCTATTTTATTGGAGAATCACATTAAGCCAGAGACTGGATAATTAAATTGCTCTCCAATTCAGTTCCTTTCTTTCTTTATTGTAGAGCCAAAAATAATAAGCCTGACTCCTCACGTTTTTTCTATGTGCCAACTATGCAAGGCTTACCAGTGTCTGGAGTTTTAGGGCATGGGCTTGGAGGTTTGATGGCATCTTCATCTGTCATCTCATCCCAGGCCTCCTGGTCATGAGTATCAATATTGTTCTGTCCAGATCTGAGGAGACCTGCAGAGGCCCTTAGGGTCCCCACTGTTCTAACCGCAGTTCGAGCCCTCATCAATGAGTCCAACTCCTCATAGAAGGGGCAAGTCCCTGGTGGGTGACTGCTCTTGGCCTTCCGATAGCTTCGAAGGAGGTTTTTAAATCTGTAGCGACACTGCTCTAATGTCCTCAGAAAGCCCAATGCACACAGCCGCTCTGCAATAGCCCGGTATATCTGGCTGTTCTGGTGGCAGGTGCGAAGTTTCTCAGAGAATGGGGACTCACTGAGAATTGCCAGGAAAGCTTTAGTCTCTTCGTATCCCCAGTGCACACCTGCTGTCAAGAGTAAAGAGTTCAAAGTTGTGAAATTTAATGATACTTGCCTAGGTCATTATGACTGGTGTTACCTGTCCTGCTAATATCCAGAACAAAGGCCTCTCGGAAATAGTCTAGGTGTCTGGGGCACCATCAAATAAAATACTTTTGCTTCCCAGTGGTGTGTTAGGAAAGTCAGCCACTACCTTCCTCCACCCACACCCCCTTCTATTCTAGATTCTATTAACATTTAAGAGTCTTAGCTGAAGGGGAGGACTAAGGAATCCATATTATACCAGGTGACCCTAGATCCCTTGATTCAGCTGATTATTTCAGGCCAAAACCTGTGATTGGCAATTAAGAGATCCTCCTTATATTTGTTCAACAAGTATCTTTTAATTACTTAATCTAATTCTCTACCAAAGCTAACCTACACTAGGACATTAACCACTCTTTAATCTAAATTTCTATCAATGATACACTAAACCACTCACTAGATCAATTCCAAATTCCTGGACAAGGGAAGCCTGATGCTGAGTCCACAGGGAGTTACGGAGCTAACTCAAAGAAAGACCTCATCTCTGTGGCCATTCAAATCCATCAGAAGCTCCGAGGAAAAAAGATGGGCAATCTCCTCCTCTATGATTCATAGCCTCAGAAAGATCAGTTATGAGTTGGTTCTGACTTGATGACAATGAGGCTATAAAGTAGTCTAAGTTTCCTACTAGAGTTATTTGCTATGTCCTCCCTTAAAAGACCAATTTCAAATTTCATGCAATGATTCAGAATAAATGAAATAGCAATGGGGTTTTTCATGTAACATCTGTGATCATCTCTTCAAGGTCATTTAAAATTTTAAGAATGCTTTTATAAACTAGGAAAACTCAAACAGGAAAGAGATCTAATACCAGAAGAGAGCAGGAATTTAAGAATGACTATAGTCTGTGCCCTGAGCTCAGAGAGAATAATTTAAGCTTATAGAAGGGTTAGAACCCGTATCCAATTAAACGCCAATGTTCTTACCTATACGACTCTGGAACAGAGCAGGACCTCCTGGAATCCTGGGTCCTTGGATGGACTCATCAATGACCAGCTCATCACCATTATAGTTCTCTGCTGTTTCCTCAGGCTCCCAGTTTCCTTCCTCCTGCTCATCCATCTCTGCATCACTATCCCCCAGCTTAGGGAGTGCCACAGCCTCTCCTGGGCTGTCTGTTCTTCTAATGGCTGTTCGAGCTCTCACCAAGGCCTCTAGTTCCTCATAAAAAGGGCAGGTTCCTGGTGGATGTCTGCTTTTGGCTTTCCGGTAATTCCGTAGGAGGTTCTTGACTCTGTAGCGACACTGTTCCAGTGTTCGCAGGAAGCCCCGGGCCCTTAGTCTTTCTGCAATGGCACGATATATCTGGCGGTTCTGGTGACAAGTCCGGAGTCTTTCAGAAAAAGGGGATTCACTCAAAATTGCAAGGAAAGTCTTGGTCTCCTCATAGCCCCAGTGAACACCTGACACTTTCATGTCCTCCACATCCCATTGGTATTGCTCTTCCCAAGTGCGTGTGTTCTTCCAGGCCAATGTCTGAACTGGTTTTGCTTGCTCATTATCTACATTATCTCCTGCAGTGTTCATTTTCCCAGGATTTATAAGGCGTGGACCCCAAAATTCTGATGCTTGCTCTCGTTGGGACGTACCATTTGGTTTTGAGACTTGAACCCCTATACAAAAGGAAGGAGAGAAATGATTGAGTGGAAATGACCTGCTAAATAGCACTTGTCCCTGAATCTTTGATCCTTTCCCTATAAGAGGTGGATGAAAAATCCCCAGGCTAACCCCTTAACATTTCTGTGGAATAATAACAGCCACTCTTTTGGAATCACTCCTCTATGACTTAGGGCTCTCTGACATGTTTGATAGTTCAGAGAGAGAAAGAAGAGCTGTACTTTACAGCCCACACAGCCATGACAGAGACAGCATGCCTGGATAGAGGTTGGAAGGATGGCTTCCATGAGCCAGACTCCTCAGTGCTCTTCACCTTCATACCTCAGTACAATCAGCATAGTCCAAGGTCAAGACCTCAGTTTCAGAAGCCTGATCTTTTTAGCACCACTATATAGGAAACCTATGAACCTAGATGAGGATGAAAGACACCAAAGCATTGAGGACTCTCCTTCATAGGGTTGCTATGAGTTGCCTGCAACTTGACGGCACTTAACAATAACATCAACATAGAGAGAGATCAGTTGGTCCAGTGGACAGAAAGCGATGCTACCAAGCCAAAGGTGGGTGACTTTTAATCCACGGCCCTCAGGCCTGTCTTTCATTGTTTTTGTTCAGACATTCCTCTAGGTCGTATAGCCCTGGTGTACAAGTT